TTCTAATGAGTTTCTGCTGTTTGGTGTGGCCTGTTATGCTAATGAGCTCCTGCTGGGCGTGGCCAACTCAGGAGCCAGCCGGAACTCCATTCCTGCCCAAAAATAGCCCTGACCCTGAGAACAAACTGGGCTGTACGCACATTGCAAGTAGTTTGAGTCACAACTCTTTGCCAGCATTGGTCACTGTGGGCGATTCTGCATCTAGCATTCGCTCCACGTTTTCTCAACTGGAAGGGAAAAAATTGCAGCTCAAAACCACGTTCAAATACCCTGTACCGACTACAAAGTCACCCCTGAACGGCTGTAAATCTATGCAGAAGGTACCATAAAATCCGATGATTAAAGAAGGCGAAAGTGGCATGCAGTGTAGAGGGTGCCATAAAACCTGCCGATTAAAGAAAGTGAGAGCAGCAGTGTGCAATGCAGAGGGGAATTTCTGTTCCAACATGGGTTTCGTAAAGCAATGGAGGGAAAAGCCACTGCAGAGAAAGGCTGTGTTTCAGTAAGGAACTGTGAACATTTTTTCTTCCCCCTCTTCTCTTCTTCCCCCACATCCCGTTACAACTTTGGCTGTTTCCACAGCAGGCTGTGAAAGCAGCAGTGAGCAGGGTGGAAGTGTGCAAGGACAGTGCCCGCGTTCTCAGTCCTGGCGCTCCAGGCTGCAGCTCCTGGGTCCTCCATCGCACTGGGACAGAAGCCCTGACATGATCAGAATCTCCTGCAGCCCAGCAACTCCACCCCCCCCACACACACACACAGCTGAGTTGTGGTTAGCTGTGAACTTTGAAAAGGCCCCCTTAAAGGTCTGAAGGGAAGGCCGAAAAATGAAAGTCGATGATGCCATATTGAAAGCAAAGCTTAGCTCTGCTCCCAGCCCCTTCTTGTTGGCAGCCGCCCCACATTTCCCCTCTAAACTCAGAGCGAAAGAGGTTTTTCCTTTGATCCAGCTTAAAGGGGAAAGCCCCACGAGGCCCACATGTTGTGCTCAGAAGCAGCACGAGGTTGTGTGGAAGGTGCCCCAAGGTGTGCTGTGTTTCACCCAGAGAAGAATCCCCCCCCCTCGTGAAAGCAGGCTTCCTATGTATTAAGGTTGTTATCTGAAGATAGAAAGTCGTGTAGCTGAAAAGCTCTCAATTCATTTGGGCTATATTTGAATTTAGGGGGTACAATTTGACCATCCTAAGGAGTCGGATTCGACTGGCTTTCGAGCAAGGGAACCTTTACCTTTTACCTTTTAAGGAGTACCCAGTTTGAAGAGAGCTGTGAGAGATTATTTAACAATTACTGTTGTGGTATTTTAAACTGAAGGAAGAGCAAAATAAAGCCCCAAGCTGGAGATGGATTGAATTGCCTTCACAGGGCGACAGTTCTCTGTGCAGATCTCATTGCTGCTGCCATTGCAGAGGCATCTACAGTGGAAATTGTTGCAGGATTGTGGGACCCAGGCCTTTTACTGGGCCGCCCAGTTCCCCTGAGTTCTTTTATTGTTTGGATGGAGACTGACAAGGGGCTGAATCAAGTATAGAGAGAGGCCATTCTTCTAAACCAAAACTATTTTATTCCACTATAAGCATTTAAGACAGAAAACACATTATCATTTATGAATCTTTAAGACAGAATCCATACCATCTGAATATTCAGCCTAGAATATTCAAATTAAGGTTGCCATCCTGCCCATGGGGGTGGGGTTTTTCCTGTTTTCAGGGCCCCCAATCCACCACTGGCCAAGCGGCCAGCAGGGGGAGCCCTGCCCCTGGACAGCCCTGTCGCGTCTGATGTGCCCAGCATGATGACATCACCCAGAGGTGATGTCATCATAGTGGGCACATCATTCAGTGGACATTCTAGCATTTGGCTAAAAATTCTATGGTGACCATAGAGGTTTTTTTTACCCAAATGCTAGAGCGTCTCCTGAACGATGTGCCCAGCACGATGACGTCACTTCTGGGTGATGTCATCGCGATGCATGCACCAAAAGACGCCGGGAGCCAGGCTGAAGCCCCCAGGAGGGACAAAGTTAGGACCTGGCAACCCTAAGTCAAATACAAACCCAATACCAAGGTCTCACAAGGAGCTGTTTGGTGGCCAGCCCAGAGGAAGCAAATTTTTAACAATTTATACCCTCTGGTCCCATAGGCTCAATCAAAATGGCTGACGTAAGGCTCAGCACTTTAACAGAAGAATATTCTCTAGTATAATTTTACTCTGAAGTCCTAGATCGGAAAGGATGTTACGTGGCAAATAGAGAATTATAGATGTCATAGCATATCATATCATCCTGAGAATATGAGAACCTTCCGAAAATAAGCTAACTGTTCTGACTTTATTTTGTCAACATGGGAAGTACAGCACATAGCTGTGATTCCTGTTTTAAGAACCGTATCAGTAGGCCATACTCTACAGACCTCCAGTTGAAAAGAACATGGCGGAGAGTCCAATGTTCCCTCTAAGCTGTGGAGTCTTGTGAACAAAAATTCTACTTTGTGAGCTACCAGCATTAAAGCTGTGAGCAAGCGGTTTGGCTACTGCATCAATTACTTTGCGCTGGAGCCATCCTTCCTGAGCTAAGACAAAAATCTGTGAGCTGGAAGCTAAAAAACTGTGAGCTAGCTCACACTAACTCAGCTTAGAGGGAACACTGGTGGAGACCCATGGGAGCCGGAGAAGGAAATGATAACCACGGAATAATATTAACTATTCTTTTAAACACGCAAAGGCCAAGGGCACTAGGAACCAGTCAACCCTAGTTTACAAGAATGTCACATCAGTTATACTGAAAAGCTCTATGAGCACTCATTCATCAATGGTATTTAGACAGAAACTCATATTGATAAATTCTGCCACAGAAACAAAATGTCTTCGGAGCAGTTTTAGTCATATTTTTCTCGCTTTAGATCAGGGGTCCCCAGCGTGGTGCCTGTGGGTGCCGTGGAACCTGCTGACACCTTTTTTGGTACCCACCAAGTGTTTTTAGAAAGTGGGCGGGGCCAGATAGGGCTTTTGCCCAGCAAGGCTTCTGACTGGCTAATGGGCTGTGCAGATTTTTTTAAAAAATGTTACTTTGGCAGCAGCTGCCGCCAGAGCACAAAAGATCTGCCCTGTGTTACTGAAATGAAGTTGTGGCAGTTCATTTTGTGGCTGGCTCCGCCTCACTGTTGCCATTTGCCCTCTGTGTCACCAGTGGGCTGGGGGAGGCTTTTTAGAAATGGGCATTTGGTGCAGCGCAGTAACATCATCGTGGCTTATTGCCACGATCTTCTAGTTTCTCCAAATTCCCAACTTTCATTTAGAAATGTCTTTTAGACCAAGGGCTTTCCTTTCCCCAGCTTTGCCGCTGTCTTTCCCATACTTGGTTTTGCATGACCTTTTTGGAAAAATCACATTCAAAACAGCATTTGATGCCACGTGGATGGGAAGGCATGTATTTTTGGTGGGTCCTGCCCGCACTGATGCCATTTGCCTTGCCTCTGCACCTGGATGCCAGCGTTCCCCCTAAGCCGAGTGAGTGCGAACTAGCTCACGGTTTTTTAGCCTCCGGCTCACACATTTTTTGTCTCAGCTCAGGAAGGATGGCTTCAGAACAAACGAATGTATGCAACAGCCAAATCGCTTGCTCACAACTTTAATGCCAGCAGCTCACGAAGTAGATTTGTTTTGCTTATAAGACCCCACAGCTTCGAGGGAACATTGCTGGATGCCATTCAGTTCTCACTCACTTGAGGGCTTCTCAGGTTTTTTTAAAAAGTGGGAATTCTCAGGTTGCTATAATGTGATACTTTAAAAAAAAGTGGGAATTCTCAGGTTGCTATAGGTGTTATAATGTGATAACAATCAATTGTGACAAATGTACTAGTTTCCAGCTTTTTAAAAAGTAAGGCTCTAGACCAAGAGTGGCCAAACTGCAGCTCAGGAGCCACATGTGGCTTTTCCATATAGCCTAATTTGAAGTTAATAAAAAGGAAATTTGCATATTTTCCAATTAAAAAAGTGTGTGTGATGTTTGTTCATGTCTTGCACCTCTCAAACATCTGATGTTTATTCTATGTGGCTGTTCCACTAAGCAAGTTTGGCCACCCCTGGCGTAGACCTTTCCTTGTGAAGTTATAAGAGGAAAGGTCCAGACTACACTTTTACCCTTATAACTCCATAAGGAAGAAGAAGAAGAAGAAGAGATTGGATTTATACCCTGCCCTTCACTACCCAAAGGAGTCTCAGAGCGGCTTACAAACTCATTTCCCTTCCCCTCCCCACAACAGACACCCTGTGAGGTAGGTGGGGCTGAGAGAGCTCTTGACAAATCAGAAACTGCTCTTTTTCAAGGACAGCTCTTATCAGAACTACGGCTTGGCCAAGGTCGTCCAGCCAGGTGCAGGTGGAGGAGTGGGGAATCAAACCCGGTTCTCCCAGACTTAACCACTACACCAAACTGGCAGCAAACTGGAAAAAGACTAGGAACTTTAAAAAAAAAAACACCAAAGCTGGGAACTAATACATTGTTGCAATATATTAACAGTATTGCAATCTATTACTTTTTTAAAAATGGCAAAGAAAAATTACAGCCATGGAGGGCAGAGTAAAGGAAAGTACAGGGGAAACTTCCATGTGGCTTTTCCATTGCCACAGTTACTGCCTCTGCATTCACAGCAGCGATGACAGCAACGTGATGAATCGGCTCCATGCCAAACCAGGCCTGGGAAAGATCAAAGCAGAGGAAAACCCGGAAAGGGGACACTGTAATATGGATGCTCTAAAATGTGAGTGTCAAACTAAATCAAAACTGTGGGAAAGTAACCTTGGTTCCCCGGGGGCTTCATTTGAACTTTACACATTCTGAGGATCTGAGAGCAAAAAAAGTTTATCACCCTCCTTCAGTTCTCACTTCCTTTGCAGCCCACAGAAGATGTATACTACTAGGAGAAAGAAGGAAGAGGCGTAGCCAGCGACTGTGGTCTGAGAAGCAGGTTGGTTTCTCTCTCTCTCTCTCTTTTTTTTGGTGCAGAAGAACTTTGTGCAGAAGAGAAAGAACTTCCACTTTTTCACAACAGGCAAAGAAAGGAGAGAGAAGCCACCGAGACAACTGAATGTACGTTTTTAAAAATTACTTTCTTCGTATCCTCCCCCCCCCCCGTC